TTTGGTGGATTTTGCTGGCTTTTCCTACTCTACAGCAAAGCACAGTCAAAGCACAGATAACAGTCAAACCATTTGGCAAGGAAGGAGAGTCACTCCTCTAACTGCCATTCATCCTAGCCACTCGGGGACTAAGTAGACATAACTTTCTCCTTTTGGAGGATGAATGACTATACATTCATTGGCTTACACTGGCTATTCCTTAATGATATGCTTTTAAAACTGGAGCTCTGATTTTTGGGACATTTCTCGTAATGCTGTTTTCAGAATTTCCTGCTTCAGTTGACCAAGAACAAATAGATACAGTCAGAAAGCCCAACCAACACTGTCTCATGGCCAATTTTCTAATAAAATTAGAGTAAAATGTCCACCAGGAGCATGACTGTCACCAAAGGTGTATTATAATCACTTGGTTATAAAACAACTACAAATTCCATTTTAACACCAAACTTTACAGAGGATGAACAGTGACATTTGTTTTGATTCATCAGGGCAAACTCCAGTCCTCAATCAGGATTCAGGGTTCCCCCTAAACTACGGCCACCAATTCCCATCTAACCGTAATTGCTCATCTTTTCCTGCTGAACTAAAGGATCAAGGTAGAAATGCTTCAGAACCTCAATGCAAACCATCTTCAGAGCTTGAAGAACGAATTCAATACCGACAGCCATGCAATAACTCCACCTTCTCATGCTGAGGGTGATTATCAAACCATCTTTACATATACCTTTAGGAAAAGAGTGAAACCCTCATATGATTAAATTTCTCATAACTTTCAACTTTGCTTCTGAATCCACTAACGTGCTGCTAGCAAAGTGACTTCCTATAATCAGTACATTTTCCACAATTTGCACACTTTTCAGAAGTGTCTACATTTCTAGTTAAGAAAATAATCCCATCTGTAATTGCACAACACTGATGAAAGAAACTGAAGACAACACAAAGAAATGGAAAGGCATTCCATGCTCATGGAATGGAAGAATAAATATTGTTAAAATGTCTCTACTACTCAAAGTAATCTACACATTTAATGCAATCCTTATCAAAATACCAACAACATTTTTCACAAACAATCCTAAAATTTATACGGGACCACAAAAGACTGAATTGCCAAAGGAATTCTTGAACAAGAACTGGAGATATCACAATTCCATACTTCAAGTTATTCTACAAAACTGTAGTAATCAAAGCAGCATGATACTGGCACAAAAAAAAGACACACAAATCAATGAAACAGAATAGAAAACCCAGAATTGTATGATCAATTAATCTTTGACAAAGGAGGAAAGAATATGCAATGGGAAAAGAGAATCTCCGACAAATGGTGTTGGGAAAGCTGGGCAGCAACATGTATAAGAATGAAACTTCCTACACCATACAAAAATTAAATTCAAAATGGATGAAAAACCTAAACGCATGAACTGAAACTATAAAAATTATTTGAGAGACCACAGGCAGTAATTTCTCTAACATTGGCTATAGCAGTATTTTTCTAGATTTGACTCCTGAGGCAAGGAAAGTAAAAAAAAAAAAAAAACTCCTGGGATTACATCAAAATAAAAGACTTCATTTCCTCCCAGTGAAGGAACAAAACTAAAATGACAGCCTACTATATGGGAGAAGATATTTGCAAATGACATATCCAATGAAGGGTTAATATCCAAAATATATAAAGAACTTATATAACCCAACACCCCCCAAAATATAAACCAATTAAAAAATGGGCAAGAAGCATGAACAAACATTTCTCCAAAGAGATAACAGATGGCTAACAGACACGTAAAAAGATGCTCAACACCACCCATCACTGGGGAAATGCAAATTAAAATTACAATGAGACACCACCTCACACCTGCTAGAATGGCTACAATCAAAAACACAAGAAAGATCAAGTGTTGGCAAGGACGTGGAGAAAAAGGAAACCTCAGGCACTGTTGGTGAGAATGCAAACTGGTACAGTCACTGTGGAAAACAGTATGGAAGTTTCCCAAAGAGTTAAAAATAGAATTGCCCTATGATTCAGTAATCATACTACTAGGTGTTTATACAAAGAATACAAAAACATTTATTCAGAAGGATGTAAGTACCCTAACGTTTATTACAGCATTATTAGCAATAGCTATACTATGGAAGCAGCCTAAGTGTCCATCGGTAGGTGGATGGATAAAGAAGATGTGGTATATAAACACAATGGAGTATTATTCAGCCATAAAAAAAAAGAATGAAATCTTGCCATTTGTTGCAACATGGATGGATCTAGAAAGTGTAATGCTAAGCAAAATAAGTCAGAGAAAGACATACCACAATTTCACTTATCTATGGAATTTAAGAAACAAAACATGTGAACAAAGGTGGGGGCAGGGAGGAAGCAATCCAAGAAGAAGACTGTTAACTATAGAGACCAAACTGATGGTTACCAGAGGTGAGGTGGAGGGATGGGGGAAATAGGTTAAAGGAATTTTAGAATACATTTATCATGATGAGCACTGGATAACGTATAGACTATTGAATTGCTGTATTGTACACCGGGAACTAATATAACACTGTTGACTATAGTGGAATTTAAAAAAAGCTTAAAGTCTACATTTCTGTAGAAAACATCTCCACTGTCTGCTGTGGGAAGATGAGGTGCACAGGGTACCAAATGCAACCCTTTTAGGGATCATGCTTCTCCTACATAATTATGTTCTCAGGGTTTCTTGTAGAACAGGGTTTATAAACCTGGTTCTGTGTATGAATTTTAAGATATTCTTATGCTTCCTGGCATTATACACAGTTTTGTATATGCAGAATATTCAAAGGTGGTCTTAACAGTGGTTCCACTTTACTGTGCATAGAGTAACACAGTAAGGCTAAAGAATCACTTTTAACGGAGTCTCTAAAAAGGTCGAGAATCACTGCTGAGAAGGTGCTAGTTAGTAACATCCAGAAATATCTTAGGGATTGGTACCTGAAGAACACAGTACTTACATGTTGTCCTTGAAGACTCCAATGGAAAAGAGGAAGATTCATAATGACCATCATACTCACTTACATGAAATGCACCTTACGTTCACTGTTATAAAACTATGACAAACGATGGATATTTGAAATATAATTTATATTCTAGTCCCTAGGGATGTATAAATGAAACCTACTATTTAATGTAAACCAGTCATACAGATTATTATAGGCTCATATTTCCTATACCAGATTTATATCAAACAGGAAAAATAATCACCTGAGCAAAAGAAAAATGTCATTAAGTACTAAAAATGCTTCCCACATCACTTTCTGTTCCTTCAGGGTCCTATGGTTCCAGGCCATAGGTGGGAAGTGTGATGAGGCCTGAGAAAATCCCCTTGTTATTTCCAAGTCTGGTGAGAATGCCAGTACCTATAACACAGAAACCCACCCATCCAAAAAAAGGTCTCCACTCACAGAGAATCTTTACACAGTATTCACCAGTCTATCTGAAAATATCCACGGAAAGGGAATTTATACTTGAATGATCTCTGAGATGAAACTTATGCTAGGTCACCTTCAGGTTTCCTAGGCTGCTAAAGTTCTCTTGACGCATTATCAATTATATGTTCCCCATGACTAAACATCACTTAGAACATTATTCATTAATCTTGCACAACCAAATGGAATAGGAAATGCCTAGAGGTTATAGGTCTCTGACCTGCACGTTATAACATGGAATACTGAACCCACTACATCTCTGGGAATCTTTATAATCAAATTAACCTATTACTCCACTGTTGAAATAAGTTAGAGGTGAGCATAATTCTCTTTGGTAGTTTTTCCTCTAGTGATCAGGAATGGGCTTGCAGAGCAGCCCCATCATAGATAGAAAAGCAGGATATTGGTATCATCTGTGGAATTTGGAAAGTTTTCACATTACAATGAAATCTTTACACTAACCTTTTGGGCCATGCTATAGTAGCCACTGAGCCATACTTTTAACACCTGCAGGTGTGGCAACAGAATGTTAAAAATGCAAAGCCTTCATCCATGAGTCAACACATGCTATCCCACTGACCATTCTCCTGCTCTGAGAATCCACGTATCTGCTTAAGAAATGCCCACATTACAGGGTCACATCCCTAGAGCTGGAAAATGTGGGTTCAAATTTCAACCCTGACACTTATAAGTAGCATCAAGCCAGCTAACCTCTCTGAGCCTCAGTTTCCTCAGCTGTTAATGTGAACACATCCAACTAATTTTTGTGAACATGTCCAACTTTTATTTTTTTTTTAAACAAGGCTGTTATGAGGATGAGATGAGACTAAGAGCAACCTAGAACATGACCAACTTACTGAAGGTTTTCAGTCTTAATAATTTCTTCATGTAAATGGTTAGCTGATCTCTCCATCAGATGAAGAGGTGGGGTAATAAGGGAAGGTAGAGAAACACATACATATTCAATGCTTTGGGCCATTGTCACACCATGGTTGCGCCCAGTTGAAGGGAGGTGTAGGAGAACAGAGGTCTAGGGCCATTTTTGACATTTCCAACTCTACACTGGCTTTCTCACCCAACAACACAGAATCTCATCCATGTTATTGCGTCACCTTTGACCTCTCGGGAAAGAGAAGCCATGAGTCTTGCCGCCGGCTGCCCTTACCGTCATAATGAGTTTCTCCACGCAGTCAGGCGCCACACTGTGGAGGTGGGTGAGATGCAGCTGGAGGTGGATCTTGTTGTTGAGCATGTCCTGGCACAGGGGGCAGCGCAGCATGGGCTGCACGGAGTGCTGCGTCATGGCATGCACCCGGAGCCGGTTGACGTCGGCGTTGCTGTACTTGCAGTAGGGACACTGGTACATCTGTGGGGGACACACCCATTCCTCTGGCTGAATCTTCAGTTCCCACCAGGGTCTGTGTCTGCCCCAAGCCCGCCCACCCAAGAGTGGGTTCCCTGCTGGTGTCTAGAGCACTCCCTACTCCCCGCCCTGCCCTCTACCAGCAGAGCCCCTTCCAGTCTCACCTGCTCAGATTTGGTCTCCTCTGTTGTTTTAGGTCGCTTTGAAGAGAGAGGAGATTCCGAGCTACCTGTGAAGGAGATGCGTTTGGATGTCGCAGGAGAATCTGTCAGCTCCTTCTCTGCTTGGCTGGACGACGCTGGAAGGAAAAGCAGAAGATGTGATATAGCAGCCAGACCAGGCCAGCTCCCAGAGGGTTTGTGTTGGGTGAAAATCAACATTCATTTATAGCACAGGATTTTCTTGAAACACCAAAATTCAAGTAGGATGAGCATCCGGACTGACTTATCAAGCACGCTGGAAAAGAAGCAAGTGTTCCATTTCCCCCATGAATTTCTGTCACTATTTTAACAACTGAATGCTAAGAAAAAAAGATAAATGGACTAAAAGGCTCTGAGCTGGATTAAGCTAAATTTGGTGTATTCTGATTTCCCCCAATCAAGACACAGTCTGCTGGCCTATAGGGGGCAGTAGGGCAGAGAGCGGGTGGTAGAGTCTTACCAGTGTGGCTCTGCAAATGGCTAGTCAACCTGAGTACCCAGACACACTCCACCTTCACACAAGTCCTCAACAATGTGAGCCTAACTTGATTTTCCCAGCTCTTGGAATCACAACACAGCACATCACAGGAGACACGACACATGTGACCCAAGAAAGGATATCCGCATACAAATACTTGGAAAAAAATCAAGTTTGGGTTTAGTAACCTGTTTTTGGGGGAAAAGTAATTGAAGAGTGGAAGAGGTAAGGCATGAATCCAACGTATAATCTGAGCAATGCTCCAGACACCAGCGTTTATTCCAAGTGGGTGGTGAGAGGGAAAGCCTCCTCTCTGCTTGCCCAAACCACACCCCATTTCACCAAAAAGAACAACCAAAACACTAATTAATGAGAAGGGTCACATGAGACTTAAGAAGCAACAGTAGGCAGAGAAATGTGGGTAGAAGGAGTTCTCTGAAACATGGAAAAGAATCTGGAAGATTTTGATCATAAAACCGCTGGGTTAAAGATTTAACAAGGATCAGCAGGGCTTCTCTGTTGTAAACACATCCCAACAGGAGTAGATGTGGTCGTTCCACAACCTGGTCAGTATCTGAGGGTTGGTTCTGTCACTTGTGAACAATGAACTTCATTTTTCAGAAACTTGCTACAAATGATTTTCAAAAATCCCAAAAATGGTGGTGAAAAATATATACCCATTCCCCTCATTGAGGTCCTTGATTTAGAAAGCCTAATTTTTACTCTTAAGTGCAAATGCTGTCTGTATCACCCAGTCTAGTTACCTAGCTCATGTTTCTACTTTATGCTCAGCTTTGAAAATTTGTTCTGACGTGGATACCAAGATGCTGTCATTATGGATGGACGCTTTAATAAACAATTTTAGAAAATCAATTTTATTCATTAAAATCATAAGGCCACAAATAATTTTAAAGAAAGAATTGCTAAATGCAGGAAATATTCCAGGAAGTTGATGCTCTTCCCAGAATGCACATCTTGTGACCTTTAAACCCCAGTATCTTGGTAACCTGGCCTGCATAAGTTTGTAGGGCATCTATTATTTAAAAAGTACAAGGACAAGCATTTTATACACAGACCCCTCCTCCTCCCAACACACACATTCATAACAGTACTTTAATCTGTCTCGAATCGACTTCAAACCCATTTTGCTCTTAATGGGAGTTACTCATTTTCACTTGAAAGGTAATACATGACGGCTGGATATTTAATGTGATGGAATGGCTGCCGATTAACTAGGTGGTGTAACATTCTAGACCGGTTCCCCCATGGCCCACTTCCCATCTCCTGGCCCCTCAAAGGAACCCAGTGTCGCAGGTTTTCAACCTCAGTGTGATGGGCCCTTGCCTGAACACTCCCACAACAGGAGTCCTTAACTAATGGTTCGGGGAATTAAGTGCCCCCAGACTCCCAGAAGGTTCCTCATTCTCCATCATTTTTCATTTTTGCTTACTGGTTATCCTCTATATATTAACAGTTCAAAAGCATTCTACAGATGGGGTGAGTGGAGGCATTAGGTGATACTTTATTACAGCCATCTCTTCCCCAACCCTTCCCTATTTCCACCTCCAACCTGTAGGCATTAGTTAGACTCTGCACTTATCTGCTCCTCCTTCCATAAGAGGCAAACCAAGATACAGATTCCAATCCAAACACCCACTCCCTGTCTTTTAGTCTGCCCAACCTGAAATGACTTTCTTTCATAGGACCATGCCATCTTGTAAATGCCCTCAGTCTGCCACTAACACCCTTTAGAATAAAGGTTGTGAAATGTGCAGGTGTGCGGCTGTGTGGGTGGACGAGCCCCAGGCATGAGACCACCCAACTCATCTCACTGGGAGCTAAAAGGCAAACACAGGGTAGCGCAGTGTGGCATTAACTTCCTTGTCTGACCAGAGTCCACCCTCTTCCTTCAGTGCTGAATGCACGATGAATCGTGCCAAGGTTGTGGAGGTGAGCATTCTGGTTTCAGAGCCCACTATTCTTTCCCCCTGCACGGAGAGGGGAGCTTTTATTACTTTTTTAAATTAAAAAAAAATTGTTTATTTTCAAACTCTCTGACTGCTCTGGAATTGTACAGCTTCCACTGTGAGCTCAAGCTAAGGAATCCTTATAAAGTGTCTTAAAAAATAAAGTCAGCACTCTCTTCCTCATTCCTCTTTCTCCCCAATAATACATTAGCCATGCTGTAATATGAAAATGCTGGACCCACTGGTGTAAAAACTTCAGGAGCTCAACTTCCTTCTATCCTGGACAGCCTGCATGTTTATTAGATCAGATCTGTCTAGAAGTGGACATTAGCTACCTGCAGTTCACTAGCTTGTTTCCTAAAGATAAAGCTGCCATTCTTAGAATCTGTAACACCCAGTTACAATCCACTTGTGTTTCCCTGGGTGATATGGGTCTGCTCCTAAGAGTTAGGCTAACTTGGATGGCAGCCCCCCTCCTAGCTTGACCTCAGGTATTAATATGTCGATCCCTATCAAGACACAGTACCAATGTCTTTATACAATTTCTGTAGATGTGCCAACAGTTGTACAAGTTCTCCACCAGCAGGCTGGATAAGGGTTTACTATAGGCCACAGACAGTCTGAGTATTTCTCAAGCTGCTTCTCTCTGAACGACTTCAAAAGAGCCAGGGTCTCAAAATCAATTTCTATTTTAGTTCTGTCACTAGCATACATTGTAGGCCTAAGTAAATCAGGTTGTATGAATACCAAGAGAAAAAGTACTGTGGTTTTCTGCTTTTGAGGACTTTTCTAAACTTTAACTTAAATTCTAGGAGAGATGTCACAGTCTAGGAAACATTATTGAAAAAATCAATTACTGGCCACTTTAAGGCCACCATGACATCACAGTAGCTAATTGGAAATACATGCACTTCAGAGACAAGCTTTAATTTAAACAGTGCCTGGAACCTTTGGTTTATACTGGCAACAGAAAGGCAAACAAGTTGAAGGGTTACTACCTGTATTGGTTTTTACAATAATGACAAAATGAATTGGAAGCAATGGAGTCTCTTAAAACAGGGCATGGTCAAGTAAACAGTGGTATAGCTACTCTACTGGGTATCAGAAGACGCTAAAAGTGATAGCTGTGAACCAATGTGGAAAAATTCTCAAGAATGTTAATCAGAAGACAAATCAGATAAAATATGCATTACATTATGATATAGCTATGTAAAAAGTAGACACTAGAAAAGAATACTAGAATAAAATGAATGTTGTATTTAGGTAATGGAATCATGGACCATTTTTCCATTTTTATAAGGTTGTCAAGAAGTTATATTATTTCTTAATACTATAGTTACATGGTTCAGCATTTAAATTCAACTGTCCATGAAAAAGTTGATATTTGGATCCATACTGTGCACATCAGGTGTTTTTTTTTTTGTTTTTGTTTTTTTTTACTTTGCTGGTTAAAGCAATTTTCTCATTTTGGCAGCTATGTCATACAAAAGTATGTGTTAAATCTCAGCAAATCTTTCACAGGCAACATGCTGGGCTTCTGGTACTTGGAAAGGGATAGAAATGTGGTGAGGAACCATGTGAATGCACACATTATAGATTACATAGTCTATAAAGTGAGGCAGATGGAATAGTGACGATGATATGGTAGGTCAAACCCTTCCACGACCTGATAGGATGTGGGCTGTGCATTCCTGGCCACGCGAACTTTCTAAGGAGTTTAAGCACTTGCTTGTTCGGAGTTACGGCTCTCCTACCCAACTTGCTTGATAAAGGACAGAAAGGACTCGTATGTCCTTCTTATGGAGTACAAAAACTTCAAAGTTGGCTTTCTGGGCCAGAAGCCAGCATTTCCCCTTAAGCTATGATGGGTTGGACACTACAAATGACAAAGATAAATACGGAGAGAGACAGACCTGATTCATGACTCTCTATTTTATTCTCTTAGGTTCCTCTACACACGAGGCAAAGTAATTTCATTCGTAATGAAACACAATACTCAAGACATGGCTTCCTTAAGGGAGAAACTAATATATGCATGAGACATCAAATTCCAGCTACCCTTTGCTTTTAAAATATTTTGGGGGGAAGCACTTAACCTCTAAAAGTAATTATTTAAAAAATTACCCCTCTTGTCTTACTAATTAGAGGAGGTTGGGAGAAAAGAAGCACCAACCCGTAATCATGCAAGTTTTGCTTGTAATATTATGTTCCAAGCACATAGAATAATTAAAAGAAGCCAAGTTTCATATAGGAAATGACTTACTTTAAAAAAGAGGTTAGAGTAGTATAAACTTAGGAGGCTTAAAGAATGGCCAAGTATGGTATAAAACACAGTTTCTGTAACTTCACCTGATAAAACCAGTCTTCCAATTCCAGTCCTCAATAACAAATTAAAGTCTGAGTCACTGAAATTTTGGCCACAGAAAACTTAAAAGATGTACTTGCAATACCAAAGACCACCAGTGGGCTTATAAAGCCCCATTTCACAACTGCCGATGTGGTTGGCCCATAGGGCTGTGAAGAGAGGTAAGGCATGGAGCTGCCTCGTGAAAAAGCAACCTGAAGAAAAACTGGAAATGAAGTAGAAGTTTTTTGCTTCCTCCAATTGTCAGCCAAGACATGAACTTGCCCTCCTCCAAAACCAAAGTACTCAGAAGTAGTTTCTATATTTCACGAGCAAAATTGATCTCATCACTCAACACACCAGTGGGGCTGTTGGCATGGTGGGTATTCGGTGCTGCAGGCCAGCCTCCCTTTGGCCAGAGACCTCCCTTGGGGAGATTCTGGGCCTGCATTGAGCTGTTCATGTTGCTGGGAAGTTTCTTCTGCAGTTCTCCCCTCCATGGTGGGGTGGCACCTGGGGATGGTATACCCCAAAGTGCTGATCTTTCTCATGGGGACCCCAAGGTGAGCCCACTGAGGGCCTGGGCTGCTACCAGACATTCACTCCTTGTGAAGAAGCCAAAGGCAGCAGCCACTTCCACGTCTCAACCGTCAAACTCTTAGCTAAAGTACCAGTGACAGCCCCTCCATCTAAACTTCCATCTCCCAAACCAGCAGCATAATGGAGGAGCCAATTAAATGATTATTAATTCATGCTGCTTTCCGTAAGCCAGAGGTTCTCATCGCCTTGCGTTCCGTAAACCAGCTTGCCACCTGCCCCAGAAATTTACAGCAACCTTTTATCCTTCTCCACTGACTAGAGGGGAAAAAATTCACACAACTCTGTATCAATGTTTGAGTTGGGATAACTAACCCCACTAGACTCAGAAGCTTCAGTAGGTCTAAAAATGGTCATTTCAGCTCATAACAATGAAATGAAAGGTACAGTGTGCTCTTTCCTTAGCCCTTCTCCTTCAGCTTCTCATGAGCCTCATACTTCCTCTAGCCAACAAAAATGCAATGTTTTCACAGGTAATCTGTGCTTCTGGACTTTGTGAACTTTATACTGTCAATGAAAGTGGAGGTACTCTTGGCATTTCCCTGCAATTCCTTCCCCCAGAGGACAGGCTAGGATTTCATACTCGGATCTCCTATGGAGCTACCGCACTTGGTAAGTGGGCCAGACATTTGGCTAAATTCTCTTACTCCCCTAATACAGAGAACAGCAGTTCCTCTAAAGGATTTGCTTTGCTGCCAATTTGGTCTTTAAACATGCATGGTCTCATTCTGCCTCCAACCAAGCACTTAAAGATGTTTCAAAGAGGAAGTGGAGGCCTGCACAGGTACCCACACCCAGGAGGTGGTCTCCGTGCCATGGCTACAGCAAAGCTGGGCTCCCCTCCCTTCCCTGCTGAGGTGTGGGACAGGTCTCTGGCCCCGTGGGGTTAGGAACCTTAAATTCACAGCACAGTCTCATTTTCT